TTGTCCTGTTACTTTGTTGTCTTTTAATCATCGAATCTGTGAAAACGTATTTTATCTGTGGCTAAACTTGTATTTTAGTTTGAGTGTAGGTCTAAATGAAGGCTTTTTCAATGTGTATGGCGCATGCACTCCCGATTTTGCTTAGAATTTTGAATTGAGACATATTTTTTCCGAGACGCAGTTTACCGACAAATGGATTTTCGGTGGAACCTTTGATCATCTGTCATTGGTTGATAACCTGTCCGAGACGCATCCTGATAAAACCGAGCGTAAAAGGTTACTCCAGATAGCGTGTCATTCTATTTGGAAACACTTAGGCCATTCACCCCAATTATGCATACAGAATTGTCAACTGTTTGGCTTCGTAGTATGAACATAAAAAATACGGGGAGTGAAATATTGTGTGTGTTGCTTTTTCATAACCCAAACAAGTACATGCTGGCAGTGAGTTGAGACATTAAATTTGTTATTTTTGGAATGCGCGAAGTTAAGGTGAAATCAAAGAATGATTCACTATTTTTTATAACCAAGGATATACCATACAGCCGTTTAACAAAAAGGCAATTGATCAAACGACCTGGAGGGCTGTGAATGTCGTGCTTCAATTACAGTGATGATTTGGTGGCAGTGCTTCATTCGTGCAATAGTAAGGCACTTTGATTTTAACAATTAGAGAGATCAGTCGGATTTCGGCATCCAATACCACCGTAAATTTATACTATTTTTATTAAAACCACGATTGGCATCCCCGATAAAATGCACCCAAATTACGGTGAGATATACTGAACCTTTTGTTTTTGGGCCTAATCCCCACCATTTCAAGGATCATATGATATCGTTTGGGTGAGTTATTTTTGTCGAGTGCATTTCTTATGCAAAGCTCACATTTCACTGTGTCAGTGGGGAACGCGTTGAACATCTTGTAGAGAGCTGTGACGGATTTCTGAGAAATCCTTTGTAATATAGATAAATAAATACATTTATATATGTATAGTACCGAATTCGTCCCCTGTGTGACCTTAAAATAAATGTCTATAATCCGACTGCGCTGATCAAACATCTTAACCAGGTTGACCATCTTGTGATTAGGGTAGACCTCCATCGTTGAACTTTTCATCCCTCCGTGAGAAGTGACACGTACTCACAGATAAACGGATAGGGGTAAGGTGCTATTAAGAAATACTACTAATTTTCTGTCAGAGACAACAAATGGTTAAGCTCATCTTTAAAATGAACAGCCTCGTTCATTCGCAAAGAAAATTCGTAACGGTTTGAAAGGANCCTTCGTTCGAATCAGGTTGCCATCTTTCAGCCATTCGAGGTGATAATCAAGTTTACGAGCCAACACTTCTGATCTGGCTTGCTCAGTGAAAATCCGACCCAAAGACCAATTTAGGTCGGGTGCGTTGGTGGAATGGCCACGCAAATTGGCTGCACACAGCAGTGTCACGGAACCACCAACCGGACGCCACAAGTCTGTTGAATCCTTTGGGATAACGGTTGTGAATTCGTCCTCACTCGGTCTTATTGTGGGCAGTATATGCAGTTGGGGCAGTTCCACTCTGGCCAAAATATCCGGTGTGATCGCCCATACTGGTTGTGCATCTGGTTTGAGAAAACAATGAAATATGCGCACACATTTTGTCATTCAAATTCTTTGGTGAGGCAGGTACTGCCCCCCCCCCTCCACTCTCACCCCCTGTTTATGATAGAGCAGTTATTCCGGAAGGCACAGAATGAATGTATACGTTTCCGTGTTTGTGGTTTTACCTCAAAGTATTAGAATTGTCATGAAGACATGTTGTTCGTAAAGAATCTTCAGATTCAAGAAATAGAGAAGATAATAGCGAATTGTCAGATGCATGCGTCTCATATCAGGAAAGTTCAAAAGCAGAATATTTGGCATCTACTTTTCGATTCTGAAGCCACTGATACTTATCAATTTCATTGTTATTTATTCTGTGGTAAACCACTTACAAACGTCTTTCTTGATCGCCTTAACGTCTGATAACCTGAACGCAAAAGTAATCTGAAAGCTAAAGTCGAACTCGGCATTTCAAATCCATCCATTACTCCTCAGTTGCGAAGCTTCAACGTCACTTGTATGTGATGATAAGCAGATTTCTTTTCATCCGGTCTAAAATCATGCCAACCCCTCTCCCCCACAGGCCTTTGCGGTTTATCATTATACGTTTTAAGGCTTATGTGACCGGTTTATATGCAGAATTCCCATTCTCTTGGTACTATACAGTTTTTCATTTGAAACAACCACTAAGCATGCGTTTCCTTTTGGTTGCTGACTTTTGGCTGCACACTTCGGTGAACAATAGGAGGAAAACAGGAAGGTTGAAAGTAGGATCGAAGATAAAATTGAAAAGTTCAGTAGACTAATGTTGCAGAGAAATTGACAAGATGCACGAACGCCACTGTTTACGATACCCAGCCATATCACTCAGTGTAGCTAACCATCGATTACGATCATCCCGAGGTCCCCAGCCAGGGAGCCAAAAACGACCCATGTGACCCAGATTCCTGGTTAGGGTTCTCATGACCTCAAGCCAGGTCTTAGCTTGACCACCCCGGGCTTTATTCCACCCACTACCTGCCTCGGTAAACATCGCTGGCCGTGGCAACCTATTTGGTGACATTCGTAACACATGCCCAAACCAACGTACTCTATAGAGGTCGACCACTTGCTCCAGTAGGCGACGGCGGTTGCCTAAATATTTGCGCCTGACCTCAACATTGCTCGTCCGGCTGCCCCACCAGATTCGTGCATTGCTGCGTAGAAAGCGGTGTCCATACACCGACAGTTTATCTTTATCCTGTTTTCTTAATGGTCAAGTTTCTGCACCATATAGCAGAACTAACCGAACTGCTGCAGCATAAACTCGACCCTTCACAGACAGCCGGATGTCGCGACGGCACCACAGATATCTCAAGTTGGCAAATGCCAACCGAGCCTTATGTGCGCGAGCTGACACTTCATCCGTGATGCGTCCACCGGGTGAGATGTGGCTGCCCAGATAACAAAACTTATCCACTTGTTCTATTATTACCTCACCAGTTAGGGTGAGGCTGGATGCTGGACCAACCCAGCCTTGTAGTAGCATTTTTCACTCGGAAGGTGCAGAACGCATACCAAACATGGGCTACACTAGTACTCAAACTTTCCAGAAAAGCTTGTAACTTACCTGGATCTTCACTTAGCAGTACAATACGGTCTGTATACTATAAATCAGCCAGCCTGACACCTGGGAGTAAATCGAGGCCACTGTCCTCGTACGAGGATAGGGCTCTTTCCGTGTTCAAATATATGACAAAGTTAAAAAATAGAAAAGGGGAGAGAGAGAGCAACCTTGTCGAACAGCACTTTCCGTGATGAACTCGGGTGAAAAAGTGCTGTAAGCTCGGATTCCGATTCGGTTGAGTATAGAGGGATCGTAATATTGAAATAAACTTCTCGGGCACACCTTTCCGAGACAGGCAGCGCCAGAGTTTAGAGCGGTCGACTGAGTCGAAGATTCCTACCGCGGTTGACATCGCGGTGTGTTGTAAGGCGCACGTTCGGTCACCTATGGCATGTAAAAAGTTGATGCATTATGGAAAGACCGAAGACTAACCATTAGCAAGCAGTTTATTCTCTCTAGGCCACATCATATGCATCTGCTTCCGATGAAAACCATTATCCCTCAATTGCGTTTAATCGCGGAATGACAAAAGCTTTAATCCATTACTCTGTTCACTACTAATATTGACCACATTCTATTCAAAACATAATTGACGAAGATGGTTCTTCTATAAGAATGATCTTCATGGTATCGTTCAGCCTCTGTTTCGAGATTCGTTCAAAGCTGCCGTTGATGATACGTTGTTATACCCCTAAAAATGTACACCATTCACGAGGACCATTTTAACCCTAATCAAACAAACATTGAAGCGTCCAATAAGCAGCAAGACCTGAGATCGTTAAATCAAAGCGCGTAAAGTGTCATGTATCCTATACTGTATTCCAAGCACCAGAACACATCGGAAGTCTCATGTTCATGTTCTAAAACACAAACTGCCAAACTCGAAATCGGAAATAAATTTAGAGTAAACTAGGAAATATTTTCAGGACTTAACCTACATCTATTGGTTTGCCAACGAATGATGCTTTACACCATCTAAAGAGTGATGCATAGCAAATAAAAATCACACGAGTTCTTTATGATTTTGCAAGAAATGCACCTTCAGAAAGACAAGTTAAAAGATCTCAAAATTCTTCTACAATTAGACAGAACGTTTTCTCTCACTCTCTCGTTCCTCGGGACTGACATTTGTCTAATTATAAAAACGAGTGGTGCACACGGACCCCTTTTGAATGCTTTGGATAGCAACTCCGCTACGGCCAAGCCTTGTGCCCCCCCCCCTTCGGGAGTTTAAAGAATGGGCCACCAGTGAAGAGACTTTGACAGTTTATTCTAACCCAGACGTTGATGAGAAATGACTCGTTTAAATCTGAGCTCCACTGTCTCGCGTACCTCCGAAAACGCTCGAAGTTGGAGAAAGTAGAGTGCGAAGTCATCCTTACTGATTGCTTCCCTATGCCTCATTAAGGATTAGTCGGAAGAAGGTATAAAACGGGCGAAGGAATAAACAAGTACGTTTCACCATGCAGACACTCGGAATGATTCAACGTTTACAGTCTGCTACCAAAACACCAACTGGACAATACAAACAAACGGTCTGACTGTCAGAACCGAAATTCGGAATCATTTTTTGTATTTGAGCGCATTCCCATGGACATAGCGTTCCAAAGATTTGGATGAATAAAATCAATGAAGCATTTGGGAGTGTACGAAATCAGGATTGGTTCGTTGAATGAATGGTTGACGGACTGGCTAGTTGGTTGGCTGGCTGGATGAATGAATGGACGGGTGGGTGGGTGCATGGATGGATGGAGGGCATATGAAGAAATTTGTAAGCTGCTGAATGATCGATGGGGTGACGGCTTGCCTGATGGATCCGTCCATTTTTCCATGAGTCTCTTTTTTAATACATTCAATCGTCCATACATTCACTTGAAAATTGAACCAATGCCTTAATTCATAAACATAATCATCCGAAAAAAGACAGAAAGTATGTCATTCCAATACGCAAGTTATTGCTTCCACACGCGAAGAACTGACCTCCAAGAAAGCCTTTGTTAGCCTGCCTTGTATATTATGTTGAAGCCATTTACTAGTGCCGCTTTCAGTAAAATAAAACGTTTTTATTAGTTAGGTTAAACTTTGATACTTTCCGCAGTTTCTATGCAGACAATCTTGGTAATGCAAGAAAAAAGTCATACAAGATAACGATTGTGAACTGTCTAAATAAGATTTTTTCCGAGAATGAAAAACACTTTCATGACCTTCTGCATAACGGAGGAAACTATAGAGCTGAACAAACGAGTTATCCCAAATTTTGTTGAACATCCCTCGTTTGTGCCTAATCCGTGAGTTGATTATACAGATAATCTAGTCAACGAATGAGGTGAGCATATGAGATGTACGTGATCGACAGATCTCTTGATACTTGCACATCCGCGTAAATGAAAGCATTTGTGCTCTGTCTCTCTCAACATATTCAAAACTACTTCTTCAATATTGCCTTTATTCTATGTGAAACAGATTCAGGCTGAATCGATGAGTGGGCAACTGCATTTCTGGCAGTGGAGGGAAGTACACTACAGTTTCATAGAATTTCGTCTCACGGTTCACCCAGGACTACCCGGAATCAAGCGCAAAATGTTACATACATATATATGTATATGCGTGTGTGTGCGCATGTGAAGTAGTAGCAAGTGACCAATGTCATAGCATTACGGGATTGGAAACCATTATGTACCAACAACAGTGGTGCAATTGAACCTACGTGATTACCTTAGTGAAAAGAACGAAGTATTTAGCAATGATAAATCCGGTTCATGCCTGGTTCATGCAAACGAATCAGAAAAATAGCATAGGAACCAATAGGAGGAAGACAGGTGATTCAATAGTTGACAGCAAGACTGTTCAACGGACTATTGGGTCTGTGCATGTTTAATATGAATACACCTGTTGTGTTCAACACCAACGCATCTGAATCAAGAGCTTGAACCAATAATACCCTTCCATCCTACGGTGTCAAAGAAAACACAACTTGGCCTCTAATCAACAATACGAACATCAAACCTTCCCTGATTTATCTGTACTTCCTCTTTAACCAAACCATACCTTTTGAACAAATTGGGTATGATGATAAAATAACTCATTAACACATGAAGACACGAAACATCGTTTTACTGAACTGATTTGGCCTAGAGCATGTACCCCGCGGTGTCGTATGCTATCCAGCCCACTCTAGGTACTGTCATTTAAAGGCACTTCGCAGATTACTGCATATGTTGTATGGGTCGGTCATGCCTCAGATATGCAAAATGATGTACATCCATATAAGAAAAATCACAGTTGCCAGTGGTAGGTGAACAACGATCACCGAGATCACTGAGAGTTCCTTCGACGTGCGAGATGTTCTTTGCAGAAGGAATATAAACGGGATACGTGAATGGTGGAGGGACTATAAATGCATCACATTTAGGGTTTCATTGAGTTTCTTTCTAACGAAGAGGCCTCAGAAATCCAC